GTCAGCGCGGGGCGCGAGCGCAGGGCGCGGGCGCGGGCGCGCGGCACGGTTGCAGGAGCGGGGCGCAACGCGGGGCGCCGGCGCCGGGCCGGGCCGGGGCCGGGCCGGGGCCGCGGCTGTCACGACTGCTCACGGTGAGCATCTGCTTCCTGCTAACGCCTCTAGCGCAAGAATGATCGGTTCCTAGCTTCCTATCTGGACGCAGAAGTAAATAAAGGTTGTTTCCTACCTTTACGCCGGGGGGGGGGTCGTCGGCGTCGTCCCTCGCTGCCTCTCTCGCTGCGTTCCTTTGCTGCTCGCCGCGCCTTCTTGTGATCGAACCGCTCTTTGTGGGGGTCGGCGAAGTCCAGGATGCGCTTGGTGGCGGCGCGCCACGCCGTCCGGTCCGGGGGCGCCTCTCTCCCGTTGTTCACGCCGAGGTGCCGCGCGCGCGCGACGTCCATTTTCACTTTCACTTGGTCCAGCAGGCGCGGGCGTCACCCCACGTACCCCCGTGCGGGCGATGTGTGCAGGGAGGTAAGCAGTATGGCTCAGGTGGCGGGCAGGGCCGTCGCGCGGGCTACATGTCCCATGCACTGCAGGCGGTGGAGGGTGCGTCCGCTCGCTCCCGGATTACTTTCTAGCCCCGATGTCTCTCTTCTCGTAGTACACGGGGTGCAGGCTTGGTGGTGCGTTTCGGACGCACGCCTCACGCCCTCCCTGAAGCCCGCTGTTTTTACCGCGCTGCCTTACGACTGACTCAACCGACTCTAAAACTCACCCGCACATATATCCAAAGCACTTCACTTCACGCTAGAAAGCACTTGATGTATAACTCCAAATAAACAGTTCGCTTGGCACATAAACACGCACGACACAAGCTCTTCAAATTCGCGTCCACGCTTTCCTGTCCCTCTCACTCCCACCGCACCACACCGCACCCTGTCTCAAGTCCACACTCGCGCTCTAAAACGAACTCTCCGACTCAGGTCACTTCACTATCTCTCACTACTAGATTCTCTCACTTCCGCGACTCGTCTCGACTTCAATTCTCAACTCTCCTGCTGCTCCTCTCCAATCCAACTCTCATCACAGACTGACCGCAGGCAGGAGGCAGGCAGGTAGGCAGGTAGGCCGGTACGGCAGGTAGAGTCCTATAGGGGAGAGAAACGTCATGGGTGTCTTGCTCATCTGCCAGTAGAATTTTTCATGGCGGCCATCTTGGGGAGTCTGCGGGGCGCGCGGGGTTTGACTGTACGCACGACGGAGCGACGTTGGCAGTTACTTCTATTTTATTGCCAACAACAAAGCGATTAAAAAATTGA